ACAGGGATTGGAAACAGGGATAATGGGGATTGAAAACAGGGATAGCAGGGATTGGACACAGGGATAATAGGGTCTGGAAACAGGGATAACGGGAATTGGAAACAGGGATAACAGGGATTGGAAACAGGAATAACAGGGACTGGAAACAGGGATAACAGGAATTGGACACAGGGATAACGGGGATTGGACACAGGGATTGGAAACAGGGATAATAGGGATTGGAGACAGGGATTGGACACAGGGATTGGAAACAGGGATAACAGGGATGGCACACAGGAATAATAGGGATTGGAAATAGGGATTGGAAAGAGGGATAACGGATTGGAAACGGGGATAATGGGGGTTGAAAACAGGGATAGCAGGGGTCGGACACAGGGATAACAGGAATAGGAAACAGGGATTGGACAAAGGGATTACAAACAGGGATAGCAGGGATTGGTCACTGGGATAACGGGGATTGGACACAGGGATGGGACACAGGGATCACAGGGATCAGGTTCAGGGATCACAGGGATCTCAAGGATCGTGGGATCCTCCCTCTGGATGAGCACGGAGCTGCTGCGATGCCGGGTGGGTCGAATCCTCTCCGTGTGATGCTGCTGGAATTGCGGGTATTCCTGGGAAAATAAAAGATTGCATTCGCTGGCTCGAAATATCCGACACTTGGGTGTGAATATTTGGATAAAATCCCTCCAAAAATCCAATATTTGGATATAAAAATCCAATATTTGGATGTGAATATTTGGAGATATCCCCCCAAAAATCCAGTATTTGGATGTGAATATTTGGAGATATGCCCAAAAAATCCAATATTTGGAGGTGAATATTTGGAGATATCCCCAAAAAATCCAATATTTGGATGTGAATATTTGGAGATATCCCCCAAAAATCCAACATTCGGATGTGAATATTTGGAGATATCCCCAAAAAATCCAATATTTAGATGTGAATATTTGGAGATTCTGCGATTCCGGGGCGGGCCCCACAGGTTTCCCCTGCCCACACCCAACATGGCGCCTCCCACAGGCTTCCCCTTCCCACACCCAACATGGCGCCTCCCACTGGCTTCCTCTGCCCACACCCAACATGGCGTCTCCAATCTTCTCCTTGCCCGCACCCAACATGGCGCCTCCCGCGCCTTCCGCCCTTCCCCGCCGCGCATGCGCAGCGCCAAGGGCACGATGGCGGCGCTGCGGGCGCTGTGGCGGCTCCGCGGCCCCGCGGGGCTGAGGGCGGTGGGGCCCCGCTTGGGCCCGGCCCCTGCCCGGTGAGACCCGGGGGACACCGGGGAGGGCAGAGCGGGGGGCTGCGAAGGGGCTGGAGGAGATCGGCTGTGGTGGGTGTCCCTGGGTGTCCCTTCTCCCCCTCATGACAGTCCTTGTCCCCCCCTCACGGCCCCCGTGTGTCCCCCTCCTCACAGATCGCGGCAATGGCAGCCCGACGTGGAGTGGGCGCAGCAATTCGCCGGCGCCGTCATGTACCCGAGCAAGGAGACCGAGAAATGGGTCCCGCCGCCCTGGAACGGTGAGGGGAGAGCGGGGAGAGGGGGGAGCCTGAGAGGGGGTCCCCAGGCCTTTGGAGAGGGGGGGCGTTGGGGAGGGATGTCAAGGCCTTGAGGGGGTGTTGGGTGAACTAAAGGTGCCCTGAGGCATTTGGGGGGGGCCTGGGGGGGTCCCGGGGGGGGCCCTTGGGGGGGCCGGGGGGGTTTTGGGGGGGGGTGGGCCTGGAGGAGTCCTGAGGCCTTCCCTGAGGAAGGAATTCAAGGCCTTGGGGAGGTGTCAGGTGAACTAAAAGAGGGTGAATTAAGGTGAACTGAGGCATCTGGGGGGACCCCTGGAGTGGTTCTGTGGTGCTTGTGTGGGTGGGTGGGACATGGAAGGGCCCTGAGGCTTTGGGGGGGAGGCTGAGGAGGAAGGTCAAGGCCTTGAGGGGGTATCGGGTGAACTAAGGGTGCCCCAAGGCATTTGGGGGGACCCCTGGAGTGGTTCTGAGGTGCTTGGGTGGGACATGGAAGGGTCCTGAGGCTTTTGGGGGGGCCCTGAGGAGGAAGGTCAGAGCTTTAGG